TAGATCAGGGTTCTATAATTGGTGGCTTCCAGTTTCACTCATTGCTTATCTGAGTGTGGGTTGCACCATTCGTATACTCTAGTGAGCAGAGTTGCTTTGTGGTATAATTTCACATCCAGGAGGCCCAGCCCCCCCTCATCTTTTGGTCATTTAAGAAGTGAAAAGTATTAATCGGACTTAAGGTCTGTAGTTATTGTTTGGATCAGTTTGGAGAAGTTGTCATGCCAGACAAGGCCTTCCACAACTTCTATTCCTCACTATATAATTTAAGGACCACCCCCTCTCCACTAGAGGACATCCAAGAGATTCTTGCAAGCAGAATCTCGACCACCATACCGGCTAACCTTAGACACTCCCTGGACCAACCTCTTACCATTCAAGAATATCAAGAGACAATAAACATTTACCATTGGGGAAAAGCCCAGGCCCAGATGACTTTACGGCAAAATACTCTGAAACATTCTCAACACAGCTGGCACAACCCTTCCTAAACTCATTTAACTCCTTATTGCAATGCTCCACTCTCCTAACACAAGCACTAAATGCCATCATCACACTCTTGCCCAAACCAGGCAAAGATATCACACAATGCGGAAGCTATAGACCAATATCCCTAATTAACATTGACCTCAAATTATTAACCAAAATTCCATCCAATCACTTACGCCCAATCCTCCAGGATTTGATCCACCCAGACCATTCGGGATTTGTTCCAGGGAGGGAGGCTAAGCATAACACAACCAAGATCCTAAACCTCATACACCACGCAAAAAAGCGCTCGGGAGACACCATCCTACTCCTGTCAATTGATGACGAGAAAGCGTTTGACAGGGTAGACTGGACCCTGATGAGGCTCACACTTTAACATATGGGCTTTGGTCCCAACTGGATGAAGTGGCTGGAAGCTGTTTATTCCACACCCACAGCACACTTCCGCATCAATGGCCAATTATCAGACCCGGTGTAAATCTCCAATCGCACAAGACAAGGGTGCCCTTTGTCACCTTTGCTATTTGTACTGGTCCTGGAACCATTCTTACAGGGCATTAAAGAGAATCCGCACATGCATGGGATCCAAGTAGGAGACACAATCCACAAAACAGCCGCATTGGCAGATGATATGCTCTTCACAATCACATATCTCTCCCTTTAATTACCACATATCATGAGGGAAATGACATTATACAGTAAGCTTTCAAACTTTCAGGCAAACTTAAGCAAATGTGAAATCCTCCCGATCATACTTCCCTCACAAACTGCAGAACAACTACGACAGGATTATCCATTCACTTGGGCATAGGGGTCACTTAAATACCCTGGGGTACACGTATCCTCTATATCTTGTGTGCTATCCCATTTTTAAGTTTATACTGCCCTACGTAGTGGTAAAAATTATTTTGTGTTTGTTGTTTATCTACATGTGTATGTGAGGTACACTTTCTAGTGATAGCACTGGTTGTTATTGGTGTCACTATATAGTACATTTTCTGTGTATGTTTCTATGATGATACAATAGAATATTGGCACAAAAGGGGTTGCTATTTCATAGACGTGGTCTCTTCCCACAAACACATAAAAACATTGGTGTACTTAGCCCTCGTAATCCCATGTTTAGGCAATATGTACCTTATGAAATAATATTTTTTTTTTGGGGGGGAAATCTGTTTATTGAGGAGTATGCATATTCATCAATAGTGATGTCGCGAACCCGAAATTTTCGGTTCGCGAACGGCGAACGCGAACTTCCGCAAATGTTCGCGAACCGGCGAACCGCCCGAAACGCCATTGACTTCAATGGGGAGGCGAATTTTAAAACACACAGGGACTCTTTCTGGCCACAATAGGGATGGAAAAGTTGTTTCAAGGGGACTAACAACTGGACTGTGGCATGCCGGAGGGGGATCCATGGCAAAACTCCCATGGAAAATTACACAGTTGATGCAGAGTCTGGTTTTAAACCATAAAGGGCAGAAATCACCTAACATTCCTAAGTCACACTGAATATGGATTGACACCTGACATATGACATATTGACACCTTGACATATGGATTGACAACTGTCCTCAGAGCCCCTGATGCACACTGACACAGAGCAGAATAGGGACTGTTCCAGGGTCACTGGCAGATATGGATTGACACCTGTCCTAAGGTTCCCTGGTACACACTGACACAGAGCAGAATAGGGACTGGTCCCCCTACATCGGGTCACTTGGCAGATATGGATTGACACCTTGTTACAAACTGCTATTTGTAACGGGCCCTTTAAATGGCAAATTGCCCTGCTTCCCTGGGTTGTGGAGAAGCCTATTTGCCAGCCTCCTCCCGCATGACCATGGCCCCTGGGAGATTGTGAAAATGTATGCACTTGTATTTGGTGTGTATGGCCCTTTAAGACTGTCGGTGGGCATATTGGGGCTTATGGACTCTTTATGTGACTGGTGCTGGCCCTTTAGACACCTTTTTTGGGACATCAGGAAGATTGGGACACTGCCCCTTTAAGGCCGTGTCCCCAGACTTGTTGGGGACACGGCCCCTTTAAGACGGTGTCCCTGTGTCCCCAGACCTGGTGCAAACCCTTTGTGCCTGCCTGGCTATTTCCCACTTGGCTATTTCCCACTTGGTTCAGTAAATGGGAAATTATTTCAGCTGCAGAGACTAGGTCCCATTCAGCGATGGGACTTAGTCT